AAAAAAAAAGATGAAGACTGAGTGGCCAGGCTTGGTGGCTCAGCCTATAATCCCAGCCCTTTGGGAGGCCAAGGCGAGTGGATTACCTGAGCCCATGGGTTTAAGACCAGCCTAGGCAATTTGGCGAGACCTCGTCTCTAAAACAAATAAAAAATTAGCCAGGTATGGTACAGTGCGCCTGTAGTTCCAGCTACTTGGAAGGCTGTGGTAGAAGTATCGCCGGAGCCCAGCAGGTCAGCATTGGCGTGGCCATGAGTGTGCCACTGCACTCCAGCTTGGGAGACAGAGATTCCAACTTAAAAAAATAAAAAAGATAAAGACTGAGAACTGATGACTGGATTGATATGATGAGACCCTGGCATAGTAGTTTCATTGGAGTAGGGAGAATAATAAAAGCTTGACAAGAATAGTTTAAGATACATAGGAAGTAAGGAAGTGGAGATACCGAAAAATGAGAACTCTTTCAAGGAGTTTTGCTAAAAAAAAAAGAGAGCACCAAAAAATAGAGTAGTTGGAGGGATATGTGGAATTAGCAGAAATTTTTTTTAAGACGGGAGATATAATAACATATTTAAATACTGACAGAAATCATCCAGTAAAGAGGAAGAATCTGATAACGAGAAAATGTGTAGGCCGGGCTCGGTGGCTCAGCCTATAATCCCTGCGCTTTGGGAGGCTGAGGTGAGTGGTTTGCCTGAGCCTGCGGGTTTGAGACCCGCCTGGGCAACTTGGCGAGACCTCATCTCTACAATAAAAATCAAAAACTAGCCAGGCGTGGTAGCGTGTGCCTGTAGTTCCAGCTACTTGGAAGGCTGAGGTGGAAGGATCGCCAGAGCCCAGCAGGTCGAGGCTGCAGTGGTTGGGAGTGGCCACTGCACTCTATCTGGGTGACAGAGTGAGACTCCAACTCAAAAAAAAGAAAATGTATAACTGTAAACATAAAACCTTCGAATACTGTGTCAAATAAAAACAGGAGCAATTTTTCCTTGTAACAAGATGTAAGGCAGAGTACAGGGTAGGTAGACAGGTAGGTAGGTAGATCTGGTGGTAGGAAAATGAAGAAATTCTGTTCTGACAGCTTCTATTTTTATAATATAAATAAATAAATAAAATCAGATAAGAGTGAGAAGAAAGAGATAGGATGCTAAAAGTGTAAGGAAAAAGAAGCTGTAAACTGCTCCAGAAAATAGGAGAGAGAATTGTCAAGGGAAATATAGCAAAACAGCCAAAGGCACTGAGTCCCATACGAGGTCTGTAGTCACACATCTGTTGTGTGACCAGTTAGCTTAGACACACATTTTTCTCCAGCCACACAGGATTACTCATGCTTAGAGGAAGAGTAAGCTGAAAGTTAGAATAACCAGGGTTGGGGTTTTTCCAGAGCACTGGGATAAGAAAGGCAAGGAAGTTGGTTGAGGGTATATATTAGAGTGATCACAGAAATAAACTTAATGGAATCTAAGTTAAGACATAAATCTAAATAAACAGATTTTTACTTAATGACAATTCAAAACCTTTTTGTTCTCAATTTTAAAATTATTAATTTTTTAGATGCTTAGTTTCTTTTCTTTTTTTCTTTTTTTTTTTTTCTTTGAGTTGGCGTCTAACTCAGTTGCCCAGACTGGAGTGCAGTGGCCGCTCCCGGCCACTACAGCCTCGACCTGCTGGGCTCCGGCGATCCTTCCGCCTCAGCCTTCCAAGTAGCTGGAATTACTGGCGCGCACTACCACGCCCGGCTAATTTTTTTTATTTATTGTAGAGATGAGGTCTCGTCAAGTTGCCCAGGCAGGTCTCGAACCCGCGGGCTCAGGCAGTTCACTCACCTCGGCCTCCCAAAGCGCAGGATTACAGGCTGAGCCACCGAGCCCGGCCAGATGCTTAGCTTCTAAATGTCTTGCCTTGTGATGACGTCTTCTGATCAATAAGTGTCACCAACATTCACCTTGTTGTACAGGCCAAAAATCCAGAAATCATCATTGATAACTCTTTTTCATATATTCATTACAACAGCAAAAGCTGTTCCTCTTTCAAAATGTACTCTGAACCTAACTACTTCTCACCACTTCTACCACTGCTACCCTGATGCTTGTCTTGCTCAGACCATTTCACTGCTGGTCTCTTATTATCTATTTTTCAGAAGCCAAAAAACTTCAAATTTACATCAGATCAAGTCCTTGCTTTCAAGCATTCAATGTCTCTTGGTCACTCACCAAAGAAAATTCAAATCCTGACTGTCCTGTAAGACCCTACAGAACCTAGCTCCTGGGTACCTCTTCAATCTACCTTCTACCTCTCTGTTCTGCTCATAGGCCCAGCCATGCTGGCCTCTCTCACTTTCTTCAGTCTTGCCAAGTACACTCTCGTCTCAGGACCTTTGTACCTGCTCTCCCTGGAACAGTTTCTCCTCAAATATTCATAGGGTTCGCTCTCTCACTTTATTCAGATCTCTGCTCAAATGTCAGTTGCAGCCAGGTACAGTGACTCACGCCTACAATCCGAACACTTCGGGAGGATGGCAGGAGCCCAGAGGTACCAGCCTGGACAATTTGGTGAGACCTCGTCGCCACAATAAGTAAAAAAAAAAAACTAGCCGGATATGTTAGTGCACACCTGTAGATCCAGTTACCTGAAAGGCCGAGGGGGAAGGATCACCCAAGCCCAGCGGGTTGAAGCTGCTATAGCCTTGAGCTTGCCACTGCACTGCAGCCTGTGCAACGGAGTGAGCCTCCAACTCAAAAAAAACCAAAAGTCAGCTGTTCACAGAGACCTTCCCTGATCATTCATCTAAAAAAAACACTAACATACCAATATCTTTATCTCCTTTCTCTGCTTCACTTACCTTCAAAGCCCCTACCACTACCTACTACATCACCTTATTTTTCTGTCTCTCTCACAAGACTGTAGACTCCAAGAGGGACTTTCTGTTTCAACCACCATTGTGTCCCAGTGCCTACGACAGTGCATTTTGCACATACTAAGCATTTAATAAATATGTATTAAATGAATGAGTCCTTTTTTAGCCTCTATTTTTGTGCATGTTTTTAACATATATATTTGCACTGTAACACAATAGTATAGTTTATAAATAAGTGAAAAATATCAAGGATACATGCTCAAACATTTTTTTGCTGAGAGGGCATACAGTAAATACAGTAAAAAAAAGAAGGAAAAACTTTCCATATGGGGTTAAGGCCTTCAACCAACTTCTTTGTCCTCTGCCCTTATGTTCCTCTGAAATATAAAACACCAGATTTTGCTAGAAATGAATAGGCTGCTTATTCTGATACAAAAAAAGGGTTGGTTACTTACTGGTCCTACGCAACTGAGGACAACTGTTGCCTGTTTAGCCATTTCATCAAGTGAGGCTGGATCAGAGATATCACAAATGATTATTCCAACTTCAGATGAGAGTGTTGGTCTTCCTAAAATAAGAAACAAACAAAGTAAAGCAAATTCCAGTATAGTATTAAATCTTCCATATCTACTTTTATAGCAATCACTGGCAGCAAATTACCAAATACACTGAAAGCTAACTCTTCCTCTCAAACAAAAGATAAAACTGTTTTAAATCAGGTAATTAAAAAGGAAAAGGCAGCCGGGCTCGGTGGCTCAGCCCGTAATCCCGTACCTTTGGGAGGCTGAGGTGAGTGGATTGCCTGAGCCTGCGGGTTCGAGACCCGCCTGGGCAACTTGGCGAGACCTCATATCTACAGTAAATCAAAAAATTAGCCAGGTGTGGTAGCATCCGCTTGTAGTTCCAGCTACTTGGAAGGCTGAGGCGGAAGGATCGCCGGAGCCCAGTAGTTCGAGGCTGCGGTGGCCGGGAGCAGCCACTGCACTCCAGTCTGGGCAACAGAGTGAGACTCCAACTCAAAAAAAAAAAAAAAAGGAAAAGGCTATGAGGAAAACTAGGTTAACACCAAGGGTTAAAAAAATACACCACATATAACCCTTAAAAACTTATCATATATAAGCAATGAGTAAATAACCCTGTGTAACATGACAATGTTACAATCATGTTTAGATGTTGAGTAGATGATCACCTTGACTTCCTCTCCAACAAGAAATCTGTATTATAAAGTTTCTCATCAACTACTGAACAATTACATATGATCCAATTATAGGAGATGAAGGGGGGTTGTTAACATCCAAACCACGAATATAAAAGAGAACTCTGAGGTGAAAAGGCACACTATATTTAAACACCCAGACTCATACTAAGGAAATAATTGCAATTAACTGACTCAATAGAGCAATACAAGTTTCAATGGGTCAAGGTACAGTTCCCAGGATAACTTGATTTGGGCCTTATAGATGGCAGGTAACTAAGCAGTACCAGTATGGTCTTGTTGAGCAGGAAAAAGAAATGGAAGAATATATCTTTATACTGAAATTACTTCTCTTGGGAAAAGTTCTTTGGTCAAGACTTTCTGTGTTGGTAGTGACAGCACTAAAAACTGTAGGAGAGTCCAGCCCACATGGTATCTTTTGTACATAACACAAACAAAAGACTCTATATTCCCACTATAAGCAGGGGTTTGTATGAAATTATAAGATTAAGCAGAAAGAATGTAGACTACCCAGAACTCTAACAGGTACAGATATGAAGGGAGTCTAGGGTGGAGAGTTAATAGCCAAACTTAAAGACTATGGAGTCCTAAGTTAGATGTCTCCCCTCACCATGAAGATGGGGTATGTATATGTCTGTCTCCTCTCTCCCACTCAGCAAGCACAGCACTTAGGACAGGACCTGGCATGGAAAAGACCATTCAATTAATGCATCCTGAATGGATGCTAAAGGGTAACGTCTAGACCATGCTTCTTTTTTTTTTTTTTTTTTTTAAATGAAGAGTAAGACTGCGGAGGATTATTACAAGAAAAAATAAAATAATTAAAATATAAAAGCCGCAACACGTGATCAGTACAACTTTTTTTTTTTTTTTTTTTTTGAGTTGAAGTCTCACTCCGTCGCCCATATTGGAGTGCAGGGGCACGCTCACGGCCACCGCAGCCTCGACCCGCTGGGCTCCAGCGATCCTTCCGCCTCAGCCTTCCAGGTAGCTGGAACTACAGGGGCGCGCCACCACGCCCGGCCAATCTTTGATTTATTGTAGAGATGCGGTCTCGCCAAGTTGCCCGGGCGGGTCTCGAACCCGCGGGCTCAGGCAGGCAATCCACTCACCTCGGCCTCCCAAAGCGCTGGGATGACAGGCTGAGCCACCGAGCCCAGCCTCAGTACAACTCTTTCGCGTGCTCTCCCCTCCCCAAAACATAAGGCAGAAGGAAGAGGACAAACAATCTCCAAGAAACCAAAACCCTGCTTTCCACCCCACCACATCTCAAGAAACCTCCAGGCCTAACAGGTACCCCTACTGAGAGCAAGATGAAGCAGATAAAGGGACAACTCATGGACTGTGTCGCCAGGGGGACGCCCCAAACTGACGGAGAAATTCAAAAGTGGGAAGAGGAGGAAAGAAATTTGCTTTAAATTCTTCCCAGGAAGGCGGTGGCACAGAGCCATGACAGTATTTGAAACACCCTCTCCTCCCGCCCTCAGGCAGGGCCGGAGGGGACACGCTCGCTTCGGGCGATTCCGAGCCCTCGCCGAGTCGGGGGCTCCGAGGAGGCCGAGGTCCCCGCCCCTTACCCAGCCGCAGGGCCGCCCTGTCCAGCACTCGCTGCAGCTTCTCCCGGCAGCGGCCCGCCACGGCCCAGGGCAGGCGGGAGCTCCGCTCCGGGTCCGCCTGCTCCCGCGCCACCTCCTCGGTCACGAACTGGCCGGTGAAGCCAGAGGCGCCGAACACCACCAGGTGGAAAGGCCTCCGTTCGGTCGCCATGACGAGTCCACCGCGAGCAGAGGCCCGGGGCGGGCTGAGTC